TTTACTCTTTTGAATAATGCTGCTATGTATATATCTTTTGAAATACATACACACATATCTGTTGGACATATATTTAGTATCTAGGAATATAACTGCTGGTGTTTTTGAAGTGGTTCTACAAATTTGTTTTCTTACCAGCATTCTAAGAGAGTCCTTATTCCATATCCTTGCCAACCTCTGGTATTGTAGCTAAAGTTTTTAACAGTTTGGTGGGTGTGTAGTGGTATCCTTTTATATTTTTTATGTACGTTTAAAAAATGATATGTAACTGGAAGCCAGAACTCTTAACCCTCAAGTTATGCAACGTCTTACATCAATCTTATGATCTGGGTATTACTATAATCCCATTTCATAGATGAGGAAAGGTATACTCGGAGGTACTCTCTTTCCAGTTCTGCAAGTGACTTATCATTTCTCGGATGGAGAGGGGTCAGTCACTATCAAGGTTGGGAGATTCCCACAGATTAGGATGTCCTCTAGGTATGAGGAGGAGGAAGGCTGAGGTGGAGCAGAGGGGATGAGGGATAATGGTTGGAGTGATGATCCAGAGAACCTAGTTTTGGAATTGACGAGTCTAGAAAGAGAAGTCTGAATAAGCAGAATGCAGATTGATGCTGTGTGTGAAATCCTAGTGCTGATGGAGAAAATGAGAAGCATGGAGCTGGGGAATAAGAACCTGTGTGTGTGTGTGTGTGTGTGTGTGTGTGTGTGTGTGTACTGGGTTCTCATTGGATTTTAGCCCCTCTCTGTGGGGTTTTACAGAATCTGAGGATTCCTTTGTGGGGTCTAAGTCTAGAGCCCTTTCAAAGATCTCTCTGGGATCAGAGCTTCCTTGGTGTAGTCTCTGGATTTTCTAAGCGACGAATAGAGAACTTTAGTGGTAACTCAAGTGGTAACAAGCTGTGTAGCAATCCCAAAGACATGTGGTTTGACTCCACCAACTGCTCTGCAGGAGAAAGATGGGTAATCTTCTCCTATCTGTCTAAGAGTCAGCTGTGGGTCGGTATACAACAACAAAGGGTAGATAGCACTCTGTTGCCCACAGTTTTCTGTACAGGAACAGAGTTAAGGACTTCCAGGGAGGGAGGGGAAAGACAAAGGGTCTGCTCTGATTTCACCTCCTAATCTGGCAGGTTCAGAGACATCTTGACAAATAGGTACCCTGCTTTTTGACACATCAGGTGTCAGGAGGACGATGCAGTAAACAGTCTTTAATATCTAGCTTCTTTACTCAGAGTGTGCTCTGTGGCTCTATCTGGCAGGTTAGCCAGCATGACGCAGGGAGCCAAGTCCATAGCAGGCAGAAAATACATTTGGCACAAGTCTTGGCTCAGTCACATACTGGCTGTGTGGCCCTGGGTGAATCTCATCATCTCTATGCATAGCGATGGCAGAGCTCTCTTTCACAGTGATCAACACCATTGACTTGGCTTATCTTCTGTACAGACAGATGCCATTTAATGACAGAGAGAAGACCTGTTGGTGACAGTCTGGAAACAGGGCAGACTCTGGAGGGTGGGGAACCATGCCAGCATGGGGCTTTGGACCATGAAAATGGACATCAGAAATACTAGAGTCCCAGAATGCCAGGGCTGGAAAGGACTTTATAATTCAATATATTTCCTTCTTCATCTCTCCCCCATATTATAGATGGTAAAACTGAAGCTCAGAGATCTGAAGTAACTTGTTTTAGGTTTTCCAGTAAGCCTGCTGGCAGAGCTGGGATTAGAACCCAGGTCAGGATGGCACATGGAAGATTCTTGCTTGAAGGTCTCCTCAATCAGGAGTGTATGCCTTTGTGTAGAATGGACTGCTGTACTTTTGGGTCTCCACACTACCTTATTTAAATATCTTCCAAGGAGTTGGCATATCTCTTGGACTTGTCTCCTCTCACTAGGTTGTGAGCTCCTTGAGGGAATTCTTATACTCCTGGCAATTAGCACAAAACCTGGTTTACTCAGTGGAACGTGTCCTGTGAAAGTTAGAACTTAAGGAGACTGGTTCTTTCCAGGCCTTATAAGCTTTCTGCCTGTGACAAGATGCAGTTTTACTCTATTAACAAAGTTTTCCTGCTCTGATAGGCTTCTTTATGCCTTATACAATTTCCAATATTCACAGGTTTTACATTTACTGTTAGTTGATGAAGGTTACGTAGATGGTGGAGAGGTTTCTGGAAGGTAATCACCCTGCCTCCCTGGAATTATTTTAGACAAAAAGGGAGGGGCTGAAGAACACCAGGGGCTGAGGAGAGGTGCTAGGGTGAAGATGTGGGTCTCTGTTTCACCTGGAAATCTTTCCAGACTTCCCACACTCATCCCAGTCATATCCCTCGGTTTCTGTCTAGCCTGCTGCTTCTCTTGAATGAATCTCTTCATGTTCTACTCCTTTTACCCTTCTCAGGTTTGCCTGGGGACAAGCCTGGCTTTGGAATCAGATTCATTTTCCCTTGTTCCATTTTATTCTCACAAAGGCTTCAAGAAGTAGGCTAAATGTGAAGGATCTGTCTCCATCATAGAGACATGAGCTCCCAGGGAGCAGTGTCCAAATTCACACAATGAGTTGGTGTCAGAACTGTGTTCAGGAATGATGGGGTGAGATCAAAAAGAGCTGGAAGAAGTTTCTGAATCAGGGACAGGTTGGACTTCCCTCAAGAACCTGAGGAACCTGGCTTTGTGTCCCCTTCTTCAATGCTGAAAGGACTTGGAATTGAGGGAATCCCAGAACCTTGTCCCTTGCCCTGTGCAGTCTTGATGGCTGCCACTAGGTGCCGCCAGTTTGCAACTTTTTGATCTTGTCCCTAGAGGTTGTTTCCAGGCTAGGTCTCCCTTTATCACTTCACTTGATCAATTTGCACTTGTAGAAAGAAGTTGTTGTCGTCAGGTGCTGTGGCGTCAAGTAAAACTCAGCGAACCTATGAACAATAGATCTGAACTCTGTCCTTACTCTATGCCATTCTCACAAACTCTGACACACTTGAGCCCATTGCTGCAGTCACTGTCAATCCACCTGGTTAAGGGTCTTCCTCTCTTTCACTGATCCTCCTCCACCTTTCCACACATGATGTCCTTCTACAAGGAATAATAGCATCTTCTAGGAACATGTCCAAAGTATATGAGACAAAAGTTTGTCCTCCTTGCCTCCAAGGAGCATTCTGGCTGCAAGATATAACTGTTTATATCTGTTTTTCAAGATATAACTGTTTTGTTCTTTTGGCAGTTCATGGAATATGCAATACTCTTCTCCAATATCACAGCTCAAAGGAACTGATTCTTCTTCCTTATTCATTGTCCAGCTTTCAGATGCATAATAAGTGATGGAAAAGACCATATCTTGGATCAGGCACACCTTAGTCTTCGAATTGACATCATTGTTCTTCAGTACTTTGAAGAGGTTCTTAACAGTCGATTTGCCTGATGCGGTACATCTCCTGCTCTCCTGATTGCTGGTACCAAGGGTGGTGTTTGTGGATCCAAGTAAGATGGAATAACTGATGACTTCAGTCTTTTCTCCATCTATCACGATGTTGTGCCTTGGACCAGTGGTGAGGATTTTTGTCTTCTCAGTGTTGAGATGCAATCCATGTTGAAGGCCTTAGTCTTTGCTCTTCTGCAGCAAGCATTTCAAGTCCTTCTCACTTTTAGCAAGCAAGGTTGTGCCATCTGAATTATGCAGAAAGGAGTAGCGATGGCCTAGTGAGAGGAAGCAGGAAGGGATCACTGATCCACACCTCAGTTGCTGCCTCATAGGTTTCTAGGTTAAGTTGAGAAAATAAAAAAGACTAAAAACCCCCAAAACGGGGAAAAAAACCCCACCTCATAGGTTGCCAATTATGCCTGGATAGGCACCCTCACCCTGAAACCTGGTGCAGAACAGCAGACGCTTTTGTGGTGGTGAATGAGTAACTATCAGGAGAATCTGAAAGACTTGGTGATCAACTTTCAAAAAAACCAGCCATTGAAAACCTCTACAAGCTCGGTTCATTCTGACACACATGGGGTAACTACCAGCTGGAGTTGACCCACTGGCAACCAGTTTTGAGAGGGGAGCTGGGTCCTGGCTGCTAATGCTACTTAGGGTCTCTCTCAATCCCAGGGACACTGTGAAATATTAAAGTATGAGACCCCAGTAGGGATCCCAAAGAAGGACTGATAACCCCAGTATTAGCCCAGTAGTGACCCTGTGAATTGGAAAGAGACACACCTTTCACAAAACTCTTGACTGCCATGCGCTGGAAAATGGTCTCAACAGTTTCACACATCTAAGGAGGAATGGTGTCCCCTGGAGAGGGCAGTGAGCAACTTGAATACCGAAGGGGCATCTCCCAGAGCCAGTCTCCCACTAGAAGTGGGTCTGGCCAGGAAAGCAGGGTCTTGACAGCCTCCCCTCTGGAAGTTTGGTCCATTCCCTGTTAGGACCCAAGTGAGTCCTGAAGAGGTAGGGGCCACTTCGGGCTGGGGAGGGGGGAGCAGCAAGTGAAGAGAAATGGGAAGGTACAACTAAATCTAGTAAGGTCTTGGAGTCACCAGGCCTTAGGGTCACTGCCCCTCGTGGAGGGTCTGCATCCTTTCCCCTGTCTGCTTCGCTCGGTCTCCAAGGGTCTCCAAGCCTGGAAACACTTGAGTGGGGTGCAAAGAGCTCTCTGTTCAGAGGGACCGAATTGGCAGAGCCGAGAGTCACGACTAGGTCCTCTCATTTTTAGTGTGGGGACAGCGGGAAGTGTTGGGAAGCTGGGGAGGAATCCTCCAAGGGAGGGGAGCCCCAAAGCAGCGCTTTTGCGTCCCCCGTCTGCCTTCCCTCCCTCCGGGCCGGATCTTGGCGCCTAACAAGGCTTTTAAACTGCGCTGCTCGCTCTGGCAGGAGGGACTTTGAGATGTTGTAGTGGCTGCAGCGGCGGCGCCTGGGACTCAGGACAGCGCCCCCTCCCCCTTTCCCTCTCCCCCTCGCCCTCCCGGGCTCCCCACCTCTGGGAAGGCGCTGGGGGTGTGGCCAGGGGCCGGTATAAAGTCCGGGGGAGCCAGTCTCGGGCAGTCGCTCAGTCCCTTGCCCCCCTGCCGCTCCCGCCTGGGCCGGGCCGAGGATGCAGCGCAGCTCCTCGGCGGCCAGGCTCGCTATCCTCCGGGCCGCTTGCTAACTTCCCGAGCTCCGTTCCCGTCCGCCGGCAGGGCCGCCCCGTCTCCCCGCGCCTCCGGGTCCGGTCCTCCAGGTGCGCCAGGCGCTGCCGCTGTGTACCCCTTTGCCGCCAGCCCGCGCGCCCACATTCCCCGCCGCGCCCCGTCCTCGCCCGGCCATGCTGCCCCTCTGCCTCGTGGCCGCGCTGCTGCTGGCCGCCGGGCCCGGCCCGAGCCAGGGCGACGAAGCCATCCACTGCCCGCCCTGCACCGAGGAGAAGCTGGCGCGCTGCCGCCCCCCCGTGGGCTGCGAGGAGCTGGTGCGGGAGCCCGGCTGCGGCTGTTGCGCCACTTGCGCCCTGGGCAAGGGAATGCCCTGCGGGGTGTACACCGCCCGCTGCGGCACGGGCCTGCGCTGCTACCCGCCCCGAGGGGTGGAGAAGCCCCTGCACACGCTGATGCACGGGCAAGGCGTGTGCATGGAGCTGGCGGAGATCGAGGCCATCCAGGAAAGCCTGCAGCCCTCCGGTAAGGGCACCCCCAATCCCGCCCCACCCATGCCCAATCGAGGCTGCCTTCCTTCCTGCAGCCTTTTCTCTGTTCTAGCTGGCCCGGAAGGCCCTTTAAGACGCTGAAGCCAAGTACGTGTGAAGGGCCAGAGTAGCATGGGGCAGGCTCAGCCGAGGAAACTAGTGCTGAGTCCTCAGCAGCCTGTTGCCACCCTCAGAGAAAACTCTGCCCCCTCCTTTCATCTCATATCTACCAGGAATGCTTATTTGAGAAGAGCTAGGCCTGGCTGCTGGTGCCAGAGTGGCAAATTCAGTGACCTGGTCCAGCCAACCGCATGCAGGTCAGTGGTCTTGAGGGTGACAGGGTGACAGCCTTCCCAGTTCAGGGACTTCCCCTCACCCCCACTGTGAGTGAAACCTCAGGGGCCTGAGGAGTTATGGGCCAGCTTTTGACATTGGAGTGGGGTAGAGTGGGCTGTGCATATTAGAGGTACCTCAGAATTGCCCTATCCCAAAGCTTTATGGCAGCTCAGCTAACTATTTGAAAGTTAGTGAGAAGACAGGGGTCTCTGCCTGCGCTGGTGCACGGGTACCCCCCCCCCCCTTTCTCTTTGCAGGTGCCGTTCAAGGTGGCAAAGGACAAACCAGTCCTGGCTCCCAGCTCAGAAGTATAGGAAACTAGTACGGACATGGAATAGCAGAAAGGGGAGATGGAGGGAGATTAAGATAGAAAGAGAAGGGGAAAGAGTGTGTGTGAGAGAGAAAGAGAGCAAAGGAGCAAAACCTTAGAGCATAGAGCAATGGTAATTGTATAAACACAATGTATATGAAAGTATAAAACACAAAGTATATGTACAAAACATGATGTATATGATTATATGCAAACCAATAAAAGTAAAAAAACCGAAACCAAACCATAAACACCTACTTAGAAGACCCTTTGCCCTGGTTTCATTATGAGACTTTCTTTTCTCATTTCCCAGGGTCTCTTAGTTTCTCTTTATCATCTTCCTCTTTATTTCTTCTTTTTTTCTTATTCTTTGGTTCTTTCTTGAGTTGTTTTATAACCTCTAGTTTGATTAATAGTAATTTTGAGGTCTCTTTCCCACAATATAATCTACTAATTTTTTATTTCTCTTAACATGATTTTATTCCGTGTTTCTTTTTCTGTCACTCTACTTCTGTCACTTTACTCTCTCTGTGTCTCCGCCATTGTTCTTTTTCTCTTTCTCTGGCACTTTTGGGAGGCTCTCTTGTTGATTTCCCTTCTATATCTCCACCTCTGTTTCTTATTACCACTGGCTCTGGTTTGCTCTCTCCGTGCCTCCGTCTGTCTCTTTTCCTGGTGCTTGAAGCTTCCATTGTTGCAGTCCGGATGCTGGGACTCTGGCCCGAGCTTCCTGCCCTGCGTCCCAGACCGCTTTACTTCCTCAATCCTCTGCAGCTTGTTAGTTGAAGGATGCAGGGAAAACAGGAAGGAGGTGGACCCCAGGAGTCTAGGCCTCAGGCCTCTCTGCCCTCTTTACCCTTCCTGCCCCTGGGCAGGGAGAAGTTGGGTCAGCAGAAAACATTCTAGAAGAAATGCCAGCCTGGTATGCAGCACGTTTGAAAGTGGGGGTCTCTAGAGGAGAGTAAACAGTTATCCTGGAGCAGAACTAGTGGCAGTGGAGGGTCACTGATACCAGACCACGCTGGGAGTGAGGACCAAGTTCATTTGGTATAATGGACCACTTTACATTTGTATCTCCATTCTCCACTGACCAATGAGATCTGGCACCAGATAAAGGTGGCTGGTAGCCTCACCCTCTCTTACCAACTTTAAATGGGTCAGAAGAGTCCTAGAGGGTACCCTTTCTTATCTGACTAGATAGGTGTACCCTATCCTGTAGTGGAGGAAAATTTGATTTCTGGGGTGTTTGGAGTGCATGGCACCCGCAGTTTGTTGTTGCCCTGTGGACAATATAGACACCTAAGAATAGGGTGTTTTTAGCTCTTCTTTGGATTACAGAGCAAAGGTCTCTAACAAGCCTTCCCTTCCCTCGTTGCCTTGTCTTCCACCCATGCAGGGCTGGACGGGGAAGCATGAAAATCTGGAAGGGTCTACCTGACCTTCTCTGCCCATGCCCTCTCATGTAGTTATTGCAGGAATAGACTCTGTTACATTGCATCATGCAAAGGGCGCCCCCTAGAGCTGTGCGGCAACCTTGCAAGATCTTTTCTGAGGCAAGATGGCTAGAATTTTGCCCTGTCTACCAACCTGTCTAGCCTTCCATTGTTGATATAGGCCACTGCCCCTCCTCGGGCCAAGGCTTAGGCCCTCCTGCCCGAGGAATGGTTTGGTAAGGGTGTCAGGTTCTTTTTTCCCTTACCTTATCTTCTTGGAGCTGAGCTTCAGCAGGTGGTTTGGGGTAAGGTGGCCACTTGGCATGTCTCCTCTGTTGATGTACTATGGCCTGACCTCCTGTTTGACCCTGGGGTCAGATTTCTCCATTTATTCTCCAGATCACACCCTCCTCCACTGGTCCTTCTGTCCCCAGCATCCTGAGCCAGACAGCCAGGTTGTGGATTAACACAGCTGAGGACACCAGAGGCGAGGGGGGGATGGAAATTGTGTGTCAGAATTCCACAAATGTTGTATCAGTGGTGCTGACCCTCAACTCGTGGGATCTAGCTGGGGCAGGGGGAGTGGATACAGTGCTTAGACTGAGGAGCTCCTTAACTGTGGTCTGTCTGGGTCCCTCCAGGACAGGGTTAGATAGCATACAGGCTGGGTTAATTTTTAGTCAATGCAGCAAATATTATCTCCCCTTATTTCAATACTGGGAATCCAGTCGTGTCATGGGAACAAAGCCTTCCCAGAAATGTTGCGCCTTGGGGGAAGGGGAAAGGAGGAGCATGGCTGCTTGACGTTTTTTCTTTAGTTTTGGCAGCAAAGTTCGGATTGCTGATGCCTAAAAATAAGGATTTCCCTCCCCCCTTAAAGACAGACTGCAGAGATTAGTTTGACCTCCTTCTCCATCCATTCCACTTCAGTTTGTTGTTGTGTACCATCGAGTCGGAACCCACCCATAGCTGACCCTCTGGCGAGTTTTCAGAGACATTTAATCGCATGGGAGGAAATTGCCTATTCAGCTGGTGGCCTCAAACCGTATGCCTTCAGGATTGCAGTGCAGGGTCTTTCTTCATCTGTAAAATGGGATGATTATAGGACTTGGCCTTCAGGGTTGTGTGTCTGGCATAGAGTAAAAACTCAGTGAAAGAGAGCAGTGATGAGGATGGTGGGGCATTAAGAGGAGCTGAGAGAGGTGGATGAACTTTGGTGCTTCTTGGCTGTAACCATAGGAAAGACAGGCCTGTTTTTTTCTTATGTGACTTCTTAGTCTAAGGTCAGCAAGATGGCATTTCAGTGAACAGCGACACCCCTTGGGCCTCCCATTTAGCATGTCTTGGCTTCTCTAGTCAGAGTTCAGGGAAAAAGGAAAAGGCCTTTCCTTTCTTGCTAGGCAAGTGGGTGACCTTCCAGGCTGTGACTGAGTAGCTAGACCTATCCAACTCTCACTCTAACCTTGTGAGTTTTCTGGGGAGCAAGGACTGTGGTTAAAGAGGAATCATGAGGTGAAAGTAGGCAGCAGGAAAGAGGAAATCTTCCTTTTCTAACCAGGAATTTTTCAAAAATGGTACTAACGTTATGAAACATCTACTCTCTTTGGGCTCTTTCCCCCCCTTGCTATTTGAGTAGAGATCAGTGTTTCCCAATGGCTGACTGTCTGTTGGCCTAGCTCCAAGCAGGGGTCCCCTGGAAATGACCTGGTCTACCTTGTGAACACTACTCCCCCAGCAAACCTTTTAGAAATTGGACTTTTCAAGGTGTCAGGCCCCACTCCAACTCCTGTTCAGAGGCTTGAGAGATTAAGGTTTTCCAGGGGGCACTTACTACCTGGGTGAGCAGCATTAAATCTGAGAGGACACACACTACCTGCATGAGCATTAAACGCAAGCCTCTGGTGCATGGTTGCACTCTGATACACAAAGTTGTCTTGAGTTGGAATTGAGCACGGCGACAGCAAGCTTTTAACCAGCTTTTGAACTGTGAAGGTTAATGATTTCAAGTGACCACGATCCTCACTGTCTCTAATCCAATGGCTACAGGTGGATCCTGGGGCAGGTCCTCAGTCTGCCAGTTAAACAAGGCTGGACAAAGAAAAGTTGCAGATTAAATGGAAGAATCAATAAGTCAGGGAGCAGCGGGAACTGCAAAATCCTATCGTAGGTCTGTAAGTCCACCCAGGGTCGCTCGCCTGAGGTCACAGGGTGTGCACATGTGGGTGAGTGTGTGTTTGGACACGCGATTATCTGTATATGTTTGTGACTCTTGAGACTCAGCCTGTCTGACTGTGCTGGTATAAATAAACTTCCTCTGTAAATGCGTCCTCCTGAGAGTAAAGAAGGAGTCTTCTCTCTCAAACTACTGTGTTCTACTCTAAGCTTAGGAACTAGGAATAAAGAGACCTGACTGTAGAGAAATAAAGGGGGTGGTCAGACAAGCTGCTTGCTTACTCTTTGCAAGAAAACCCTCTGGAGCAGGTTCGAATCTGACACACATAAAGTCATCAGGAGTTGGAATAGCTTCTATGCAACTGGGAGAATGGGGTAGATGTGTATATATTATACTAATGAGAGCATAAACTGTGCTTCCAGGCTCCTGCTACGTCCACACTGCCCAGGTTTCCTCTTTAGTGGTATCCTCTAAAACAGGTTAGAAACAAAGATTTCATACTCTACTTCTAAAAACCAGGCCATGTGAATCCTGCAGACCCCAGTAGCTTGATCTCGTCATGCATGGGGGGTCTCATGAATTGGTGCCCAACTTGGTAGCAGCTGACAAGTAGAAACTAACTTAGGGGATGAATATCTCAACTATCCATGACTAGTCCCTGAAGCACTCAGGTTGGCACCGTTAGGAAGTAGAGTTGTAGGTGAGCTTCCTAGTCCAGATGATTTTATATTCTTGAGACCTGGCTCCCCTTTGGATTCTCCACCTCTGTAAGGGCAACTGTCTACCTCCTGAGGCATCCCTGTCTGCAAGGACGCTCTTCCTTACTTCTTTTTTTTTTATTTGTATTTTATTATTTTTGTGTGCGTGTACCGTCAAATCAGATCTGACTGGTACAGGAGGAGATTGTCCCTCCTTACCCGGCAGAGCATCTGGTGGATTCGAACCATGCGCCTCTGGGATTGTAGTTGCAGCTCCTTGCCACTAGGCCACCAGAGCTCCCCTTCTTCCTTACTTCTTGAACCAAAAAACATTCTGCCCATTTGTCAAGAGTGCAAATTTATCACTGTGCCTTTTTGGTCATTAATAGAAAACAAAACCAGACACAGCCAAAAAAGCCAAAGCAAACCTCTCCACGTTCAAAGAATGTCCCCATAGAGTGAGTTGCTGGACTATGGCAAACAGGCTTCTTAGTCTCCTCCAACCCTCCCAGGTAACTCAGGTGGAGCCTGTGTTCACTTCTTGGCTCAACCTGTGCTGTTCCATTTCCCCTTTCTCTCCCTTCCTCAACGCTAGCCTAAACCCCAGAAATGCTGTCCTGACCCACAAGCTTCCTAGTTTTATGCAAATCAGGAGAGTGGGGGAGTCTTTTTGACTTGAAATGCCTTTTGGAAGGGTCTCCAGGGAAGAGCTGGAATCTGAGATCTTTCTCCATCTTCTTATTGTCCTCTCGGGTCAGTCTTGAACTTGGGAAGGTCATCTGCCCCTTTTCTTGTCACCCATCTCAGCTAAGAGATCTCATTAACTTGCCTTCTCCTTGGATGACCCTCAGGAATTTGATGTCATCTGTGGACTGTCCTTTCAGAGGAGCTGCATGTCCAGAAGGAATGCTTACATCTGTCTGCTCCATTTGTTCCTTCCTTCTGATCCTTCGTTCTAAGCCAGCCCTTTACTTGTGACAAAACTTTCTTCCCAATTGTGGTGACTCAAGTTTATAAATAACCTGTGATGTGGAATCTTGACAAAGACTCTCTGAAGGTCTAGAGTTCTCCTTGCCTCATTTCTCTTTACCCACATACTTCCTCCATACCCCTGACATTTAGAGAATAAAAAGAGAAGTACCCCCCCCAACCCCCCTCCAGTTTTGGCTAGGCGGAAAAATACCATTTGACCCAGAGGCGGCTCTGGGACTGCTGCCATGCTTGGAGGAACCTGCTAACTCCTCAGGAAAAAAATCCTGACGCAAACCAGATGTAGCCTCCTGTCTGGCTGCCAACATCTGGAAAGCTGGCAGGGGCTTTGCATTCAGGCTGGAGCGAGTTGCCGAGACAGAGCATTTCAGAGGTGGCTCTGAGCTGCAGAGAGGTGTTCCAGCCTTTTGCCCTAGCTCAGCCCTGTATTTCAGTTGTGGCTTCCTGGAGGGAGGAGCTACAGTTACCATTGAGACTCCTAGATGATTTAGTTCTTTTTAGAATGTCAGATGGCCTTCCGGAGATCCCAGGGAGGAGGGTGAGGGTCCATCCTCACCACCGCCACCTCCTGCCTCCTACCTCTGAACAACCGATAAGGACTTTGAGTGGGGTCTAAGGTCTGTGGAGGGGAGACCTGGGGGGGAGGTGGAAGCGATACACTTTCATAGACCAGTGGAAACATCCTCTCCCACTTGTGCTCTTCCTTCCAGCCAATAGGGAGAGCCTCTGGGACAGATCTCACGTCACCATGAAAACTCTGATTCTGGTCATTTGGAAGAGGGTCAACAGAGCCCACAGTTGTAGGGGATCCCCTGACTGGCTCAGCCAGATGCTGAGAAGAGCAGTGAAGGAGAGGCAGGCTGAGAGAGGGGTGGTGGTGGGAGGAGCTGCATGGAGGAGGGAGGAGATCAGGAGCCAACTTCCTGCCTTAGACCTCCGTAAAGGACCCAGGGGACCCTCTTGCCATCTGGGCAGCTGCAGCTGGTGACTCATCTGAGGGATGGACTGGGTGGAGTCAGGGACAAGTCAAGAACTTCAAGAGGAACGTTCTCCTGAAGGGATCCAAGAAAGTTGGGAGATGGGGGTTGCTCTCATCACCTTCCCTCAGTGGCCTCCACTCTTCTCCAGTGCTAGGGTGTAAGCTTCCCAAGATAATGGGGCCTTGATGTTGATATAGTGCTTGACCCTTCCCTCCTACTGACCTTTCCCTGTTCGACCTTACCACAGACAAGGATGAGGGTGACCATCCCAACAACAGCTTCAGCCCTTGCAGTGCCCATGACCGCAGGTGCCTACAGAAGCACTTTGCCAAGTTGCGAGACCGGAACACCAATGGAGGCAAGATGAAAGTTATCGGGCCTGCCCGGGAAGACGTCCGGCCCGTGGTGAGGACCTCTGAGCCCTAGTGTGCATGGCCACAGGCTGCTGCGCTCACACACACCTGCATACTCCCCTGAACCTCACCAGATCCAGATACTTCAGTCAGTAGACATTCTTTGGATGCCTACCGTGTGTGAGATGCATATTGTATGTATCTTCTGGGCCCAAGGAGAGCCTTCATTTCTTTCCTGCTCATTAGTTATATTCATCAGTACTGCTGAGCCAGTTGTTAAGTATTGCAATAGTTCAGTGCCGGTTGAGAAACCACACTTGCCTTGATCCCTCTGGTATTACTTGGCCCTTTTCTTGAGTCTCTCACTCCAGACAAGCTCAGGAACTAGAGGGTAACTGGTAGCCATAGCAGGGAGACCTAGGGAACTTTCCCCCACATCTGATGAATGTCCCTTCTGAAGGACTGAGCTTGTTTCTCATCCTCGTTGCATTGGTTGCAACTCATAGTGACCTTCCACTGGGTTTCTGATGCTGTAAATTGCAGAGAGAGGAGACTACCCATCTTTCTCCCATAGAGCCCTGGTGGATTTGAGCCACGAGATAGTTGTGTCCTATGGCTTGGCCACACAACTCCTTGAGGACTGCGCTACAGCGTTCCCTGAGGCGTCTACATCTGGGATCTTATAGTTATGAAAAGTATCATTTTGTCTAACCCTCCAGCTTAGAAAGCACACTTTCCTCACCCTCTTCCACTGGGTTTCTCATGATCTTTCAGCACATGGTCCTGTCACTTCTTGCTTCTAGTTTAGCTCTGACTCTCAGGTTTGGTCTTTCCACCTCTCTCCCCGCTGCTGAATAGTTTTATCTTCTCTCCAAGCCCCAGGGTTCCTGCCAGAGTGAGTTGCACCGGGCCCTGGAGCGGCTGGCCGCTTCGCAGAGCCGCACCCATGAGGACCTCTACATCATCCCCATCCCCAACTGCGACCGAAATGGCAACTTCCACCCCAAGCAGGTGGGTCTTACTTTCCTGCTGGCCCAGCTACAGGGTCATTCCTAGCTAATCTACAGAGTGGTCCAAGATGGAGATCTTAGGGAAAGGAAGCCTCCACAATTCAAACATCTTCAAGTCCTTCCTGAGCCTCAGAACATCCCTTCCCTTTGCCTATCTCATTTTAGTGGATACTGAGCCCCAAATAAGAGGTAAATTTGGGCCCAAAGTCATGGAGTGAGTTAGTGGTGACTTAAGACTAAACCTGATTATCCTGCCTTCCCATCTAGTGCTATTTCCACTACCTCTGCCTGGACTCACGGTCTGCAGTTTAGATCTCAACACATCTGCCAATTTCTTCTCCCAACACTCATTCTACTCAGTTCCTATGAGTAATTCTCCATAGCCACTGAATGTCTGGAAATACAGGGACTAAATCATGAGAAACCAGGAAGGAAGCTTGACCTGACCCTTTCTCCAGACTGAGCAGAAAAATTGCTTAGGGCACAGTAAAGATGGAGGTGAAATCAGATCCAAGAGCTGGAGACAGGAACTTTGGGTGGATACAGAGGAAGAAGCGAGAGCATGGAGAGAACATGAAGGCAGCAATGTCCATATTTATTGGTACACTCAGTACTCTGGGCCCCGCCACATTCCCAGGAGGCCAAGATGTTCAGCAGGGTTGGCAAGCTCAAACCCTAGTTCTGGCCCTTCAAAATTGGATCCAATGGAGTCAGTATCAAGTCCTTACCCTTAGACCACTGGGGAGAATGGGGTCACTTGAAGGACACGATCTCAAAACATTGTGTGCAGGTGTTTCATTCAGAATATGGCCTGGGGAACCCTGGGCCAGATATCCTCTGCTAGATCCTCATGGCCAGAGACCCACACAGTGTACCTTTCATGCCTTACAGACAAATCTACAACCTGAATTAACATTGGGGGAGCTAGAAGGACAAAGGCTGCCTCCAGGACTTTATGTCTCCTGATAGCAGGAGAGGAGGGTAGAAGATGTTGTGCAAAGAATGGAGGAACAGAGAGGACTCCCCTAAACCAGTGATGAGCCTATCTCTAACTTCTGTCTCAACTCCAATTTATCCTTGTTTCAATTTTTATTTCAGTGAAATTTCTGACACTTAACTCAATTCCTAGACCAATTTGACCCTTGACTCAACCTTTGTACCAACTCTCATTTTGATTCCGAGATTTACTTTTTCTCACTCTTCTATCTAATCCAAATTCAAACATTAGTCCAACAGGATCAGTTGTTTTGACCTTGACCTCAGTCTTTACCCTAATTCCTTTTCTAATCTACATCCTATACCACACTCCAGTTTTAGTCATAATTCCTAGTTCAACTGTAAGACATATCCTGATCCTAACTTTCATTTGGATCCTACTTTCAACAATAATTCCATTCTTAAAGTTCCAAACCTAGTCAGAACACAGTCTTGAAATAGCTCCAACCTAAACCCTAGGCTTTCAGATGCAGATGTACCCTTAAATCCCATGGATCTATGCTTCTGCCTAGCTGGGCTGCAGAACTTTCTCAGGGCTCTTTTCCCAGAAACCCTCTGGACTTTTCCTTCTTGGCCAAGTTGTCTTTTCTCCAGCAAGCTCCAGAGACACATGGTCAGGAAGACTTGGCCTTCAGAGGTCATTTTAGAGCAACTGTCTTGGGAGCTGAACTGGGATTGGGGAAGGCTACTTGAGATCTCTCTTTTCCTACCTGGGAACTGACCCATAATACCTTTGTCTTGGCAGTGCCACCCAGCTCTGGATGGGCAGCGCGGCAAATGCTGGTGTGTGGACCGGAAGACAGGAGTGAAACTTCCGGGGGGCCTGGAGCCAAAGGGGGAGCTGGATTGCCACCAGTTGGCTGATAGTTTCCGCAAGTGAGCCCTGCCTGCAGGCAGGGAGCTCAGTGCCCCTTGTTACCCCTGTCCCCTGGGGGCTGCAGAGCTGATCCAGAACCTGGGTCTGAGTCTTGGTTCTGCCTCTAGCCCAGACATTTTTCTTTAGGGTTTATGTATGTGTGGATGTGTGTGTTCATGGGCTTGAGTGTGCCCTTGGGGTGAGCCAGAGCCAGAGGGTGTCCTCTTTGGGTTTAAGCAGCCTGAGAAGTCTGAGAGTGACAATGAGGAGCCCTGTTGTGTTTCCAAATTGGTCATTCATTCATTCAATTAGCCAGCCAACCAGCAATCTGAAAACATTTATTATCTTATACTATATGTCAGCTCTAGTTTTCAGTCCTGAGGGTTCTTATTCTGATTTCCTCTGATTTTGATAAGAGAGGGATGCTCCTATAAGGGGAGTGCAGACCTGTGGGATGAAATTCTTATTCCTAGAGTTAGGAGAGAAGAGTAGATATATTTCTTGACTGTTAATACTCTTCTCAGTTCAGTCAGAGGATAGTGTCTGTAGAGGTGGTAGATGGGTCAGTGGTCACAAGATCCAGACTCCCTCTCAAAGCTAAGGCTCCACGTTTCTTCTTCCTCAGATCCCTCCAGGTGGAAGGACCTGCAGGGCTAAGCCTACCTTAGGGTCAGGGCGATGTGCCATCTGCTTAGCTGCCTGATAGCTGAGACTCTGGGGAAGATGAGGGAAGAGGACCAGAAGAAGACCTGTGGGACAGAGGGCTGGGGGGCTGGGGGCTCATAGTTTTGACCAGGTAGGGCTGGAGGGAAGAATGAGGTCATCTGCATATGCCTGATGGAGTAGAAGCCCCACAGAGTTGGGGATTGAGGTACTTGGGGTCCTGCTCCCTACCCCACTTGTGGTCACAGTGATGAGGTCATTACCTGTGGCACCTGAGGCTGTGCCTCCCTCCTGCACCTGTGCCCTGCGCACCTTCCTCCCCGGTCTCCCTGCCCTTTGGGCATTTTCTGGCTTGATTGGATGGAAAGAAACATAGGGATTTTCCAATTGGAAATGATGTCTTTTCTTTCTCTCTCTTTTTTTTTTTAACAAAACAAAAAAAATGTTAAGACAATTGCGTTTTGTCAATTTATTTATAATTAAGAGGCAAGAATAACTATAAGTGCAAAGGACTGGCTCACTCACACCACAGCCTCTGTTAGCTGAAGAAGAACTAGATGGTGCCAAGCTACCTTTACTGACGGCTTTGATTAGTGTCACAACAGAACGTCCTGGACAAAGTGGTAGAAAAATGTAGGAAAACCCCAAAATACCACAAAAACACCAACCAAAACACAACACCCTCACAATCACAAGAAAGGACCAGACTCACTTGTCCAATTAAGACTGGTAGAACTCCAAGATGATAGCCCTTAGACATTCTTGAAACCTAGAACTGAACCCACTCGTGGAGATCACCTTTCAACCAAATCATTCACTCATTCTCATTACCCTCAAGTCAGAGCCAACTCATAAGTGACCCTCTAGCGGGTTTTCTGGAGGCTGTAAATGGCCCATCTTTCTCTTTCAGACCTGCTGGTGGATTCAAACCACCGGAAAGGCACAGCTTCTGGGTTAGTAGCACAACTGCCTATGGACTAGGTCATGCAGGTTCTCTAACCAAACGACAGAGAGGCCTAAATAGTGAACAGTAACACCTGTGAGGAAATGTCTCTTCAGAACAATCAATCAAGCAACGCACATCATTTGCTGACAACAAAGTGTAGAAGAAAGGCAGGTCAGGAAAGATGGGTGGGTGGAGATGAGGAACTCAGGGAGGAAGTAGGAAGAGTGCTGTTACACTAAAAGTATTGCAAGCCAAGTCAGGAAAGAAACCGTGGATCCATTGTTGAATGGGAAATCAATCTGCTAGGTAAACGTTCACCCAAACCGCAATCAAGTGTTCAAAAGGAAACCAAAACACAAGCAAACAAAACAAAAAGAGACAGACATCTCCCAGAGGTGGAGAGGAGGCACAGAGCTGAGAAGGTACGCACTGTGGTCTGTCGAGCTGCTCTGCTTGGTCAAAGGGCTGCAGTGGGCCCGCAGACCCACTCTTCCTGGGCAGCCTACTTCCTCCGAGGGAGCACCCCATTGCCTGCATCTATGCTGTCTGCCCTCAAACCCCTGGTGGGCAGACAATGGGAGGAAAGGGGGCATATGGGAGAGGTGAGAGCTGGTCCCGCGACCAGCTGTAAAAGGACTGCCGAAAGTTGGCTTTGTATCTGGATTTGATTTGCTAACTTTGTGTGTATGGGCAGGCATTGCCTGGTGTTGGGGGAAAGTGATAAGCTCTCCAGCACATTCCATAGCTCTGACTACCTTAGATTCCTGCCTGGGGTGGCGGTTTGTGTTGATATTTTTATTCTAAGGGGTTGGGAGTGGGGGGCACCCTGAATTTTGTTGTGTTGGGCTCGCTGTCAGTGCCAGCCCAATTTCATCTCAAGATTTGTGTCCATATAATAGGACTGAATTCCTAGCAAATCTAGAAGTCACCCCCACCTCTATGACAAGTTGGGGGATATTGAGTCTCTTGAATGGGGGTCCCTTTCCTGGAAGTCCCAGAAGCCTGGAGACTGTACATCTTGTGTGTTGCCCTCTGGGGAGCCCATTCTTGCCCAGCGGTTCCTGGATTCTTGGCCACCTCCTTCCTCTCGGCCCCCCTCTCCAGCTCCAGAGGCACTTGCAGACTTCTCCGTTTCACTGGCACCTGTGCTGTCTGCATCTTGAATCGAAGGCCTCACTCTCCGTTTCTCCAGTTCTGGAGCGACAGCATCCTGCAGCCATCTGGTCTCTGTGAGGCACAGCAGCTGCTGCCAGAGGTGGGAGATAAAGAACAAAGTGGCTCTGAGGGTTGTTCCCTCAGCCTGAGGGTGCTGGCTTCATGAAGCCCTCCTTCTGGGCTCCGGGCCAAGGCACTTGTTTGGGGCGGGAGCTGAGTGCAGGCTTAAGATTAAGTTCTAGGTCCCCAAGCCAAAGGCAGTGGAAATAGTTTGAGTCGCTCTGTTCCCAGGCCCCCAGGCCCTGTTCTCTATGTGGAGTTGGCAATAGGAGGTCCTTTACCTTCCATGTGCCTCTGTGTATATCCAGGTGCTCCTTCTTCATATTTCACATGCCACTTTACCACACACACACTCAAACATCTAACAAACACATTATGTGCGGAGTGTGTGTGGCAAAGTTGTTGTTGTTAACGTGCTGGAACCAGTTCTGAACCGAAATGTGAACGAGTGTGGCATTTGCAGAGCATGCACGCTGCTAGGTGTGATATGTTAGTCTGGATGCCTGTGGATGAGCCGTATCTTTGGTGGCATCTACGTGAGTGTGCTCTGGAGGGTTCATTCCTCTATGTGTGCGGTGTGATGTGAGGAGAGAATCAGACATTTCAACGAGTACCGGTTTCCCTCTCCATGGAGAATGGGTGGACCTCACTTGCACGAGTGTGTGAAGCTGGAGAGCAGCAGAGAATAGAGGACATGTGCTCTTGGGAGAGGAACTCCATGTCCCCCAGAAACAGACCACACCCTTGCCATTTGCCCTCAGTGATCACAGAGCCCAGGATCTTAAGGTCAAAACAGAAGGAACTACAAGCAGCTCTATGTCCATGCGGACACCCTCTTCCAGGTCAGAAGACGTGGACTGCCCTGGAGGTGTCTCCAGTAGATTCACCCCAGGAAAGACTTGGCTCCAGACAGATAATTGCTGGACCAGCTTGTATCTAGGCCTTTCTGCTCTGGCCTCTAATATTTTTGAATGGTCAATTTCACTCCCACAGGGGTAGACATGGGAGGGAGGAGAAGCAACTTCTTTTGTTCTGATGGGACCGTCACACCTGGATGAACTTAAGAACTGAAGTTTTGGACCATTCTCCCCTGCCTTTGCATGAAATGCCGTTCCCCCACACTGTGGCCTAGAACAGGGAGAAGAGGGCAACCTGCCAGGATCCCCTAGCCCAGTGGTGCTGGTCTACGTCCGGCATTTGGTTTCCATTTCCCAGCTCATTAGAGGAGGTTGAGCCCCGATGTCGATGTGGGCTAAGGGTTGGGGGCTGGGTTTTCCACTGGCAAGAAGACAGGCTGAGGGTGGGACAGAGAGATGGGGACTTGGACTGGCTCCAACGTCCAGACTCAGGTAGGGCCATCTCCAGAGAGCTGGACCTTGTCCAGTTAAGCCTCGGAAGTCTGGCCCCTGCAGTCCCCTCAACTCCTTCCAGGAAAACGCTGCTGTCTTAATACCCTCTGCCCTCTGAGTCAGATTCGCTATCAAACTGCTTCAGGAATGTTCTGAGGTATGCAGGCCTTAGGGGCCAGCTCTAGCCCCCTTTCTGGGGGTATATGGCTGTGTGATAAATGACCCTGAAACATTCTTTACTGGAGAAACTCCCCCTGCATTCCAAATTGCTATGGCAATCTCACCTCTGACCCAGGATGGCGTGTTTGTGTGGACCTGGGAGGCTGACTGGGTTGTCACAAGGAGAAGGGCAGGAAGGGGGTGATCTGTGAATCAGGGGAGAAAGACAACGGAGGAAGGTGAGAAAGGCAGGAGGGAAATGGACACAGTGGGGATGGTAAGTGGAGGAGGGAGAGTGGAACCAAGATTTGGATACACCTAAGACAACAGAAAAGGGTCTCTAATTAGATCCTCACTGACAGAGTGACCTGTCCCCTGTATGTCTGAGG